GAGAATTCCTGCTTGTGCACAGAATGGTCGTGGGCACCATTGCAAGGAAGCCAGGCTATGGGAGAAGGAATAGAGCTGAATGTGAACAATTGTTCAATCCCAACTGGTGTAATAAATCCTATTTTAGCGGTAGGTTACTTGCCTACTTACATACTGAGGCTTTTGTAAAATGCAACTTTATACTTTTGATGTACTCTGACAGAGGGAAGCCTTGTAGCCAAAAAAGGAACATTTGAGATGGTGATGGGCAGGTATCCCAGCAGTTGCTGTGGTCACTTGAAAGCCAACTAGTTAGTAAGAACTCCAGCCAGGTACAGCTTCAGGTTTCACATCCAAGTCATTGTGTAGGATAAGAGATTTTTGTCTGCTTAGGCATAATAAATATGCTTTACTGTAATATGCTGCAGAGTATTGATGGCACAAGCCTGGTAGCTGGAGTGAAAATCTAGAGCTTTTGCTACTATAACAGTTTCTGCTTGATTGTCCCACTGCAGATGTTGGAGCTGTATGTTGAAATGGGAGAGCACAGAAGGATTAAAACTCTCAGCTTGGTTTTGTATGGGTAAATGCTTTGTATTGCATTTTTTGCTGAATGCAAAATTTTGGATTTTTTTTCTTTTGCAGACAAGAGAGTGACGACAACTTGATACTTATTAATTGATGATTACATGTAGAAAATCACCACTAATACATGCAAAGAAAGCATAGTCATATGGGGAAGAATAATTCTCCAAATTGCCATCAAACCTGCTCTCTGGACCTGCCTCATTCTGAACAAACTGATCTTACCCAATTAAGGTGTTGGGGGAAGAAAAACTGCTAACATGATATGAGCTGGCTGGCCAGGAGAGCCCAGAAGATGCGTCTGGAGGAGAGCTGTGAAGAACTCTGTACTCTTGCCCTGTCACATTAAAGAAGGGCTGATCCATGAGCATTGTCTGTGGGAGCTCTGTTTGCTAATCACCTCTAGGAGGAAGGGAAGTGGCCCAGAATCAGCTGTTGATAACAAAGAAATATATGAAATAATTTTTTAAAAATAGTTCCATGTTAAAAAGTATTGAATAAACTCCTCCCTTCTTGACTACCTTTTTTCACTTAGTGATGCATTCAGCCTGTAATTTCTACTTGGCACCATTCATTTCCTTAAAATGAATTTATGTAAAACTACAAAGCTGCACAAAAGTGTGAAGTAATTGCTGTTCTTCATCTTGTGTATAATTTTAACACAAACCATCTATAGATCACAGTCTTTTAACAGCTTTACTAAAAACAAAAGCAGTTGGTTGTTATTTTTTTTTTTCTGTGAGTCTTTTTTATTATACCCACAGTATTTGTGTTGACATAACCTGGAGGACAAATTCAGGCAAAAACAATGCCATGGAGTTGACCTGCCTAATTACTTATATTTCAAGCACATGTTAATTGGAAGAAAATATGTAACAACTGAGTCTAGCAGTCGACTTGTTCAGGTGTTTTTCTAGGTAGCTTTGGGAATGTCATCTGTAAAATACTATTTTTCCCTTTTGATCTTTATAAACTTTTCTCAATGAGAACAGAGCACTTTCTGTAGGTGTAAAGCACTCCCAGTATAGTACAGCATAGGTGTTACCAAGTGCTTCTGAAAACTTACAGTGGTACTGACTGCCCCTGGGTTGGGTGGACTATTACATTAGATGCTTCACTTTGAATGGAGCTATATGCTCCCTAAAAAAGTTGTCTGTAGCAGACAATGTTCACTTCAGTCAGCATGTGTTGGCTAGGACTTGATCTTGGTACGTGTTCTTAACTACCGATGGTGGGCTCTGCAAGTCTACCTTGGTGGTGTTTCAAATGGGCAAAGGCAATTTGAAATACTGCCCGTGTATGAGTAAGGTGAGTGGCAACTTTTTTCTTTGGTGGTTATTTCCCCCATCTCTCTGAAACTGGAGCGTGAGAAAAAACAGTACTGGATTCACACCTTTTCTTGGTAGGTTGAAAACCACTATTTTTTTAACAAGTCTGTCTTCATTTTCTGCCTCTCCACTGGGATGTTTAAAGAGAGGTTAATAACTGCAGCTTCTCCAGCAGTGTTTCTGGCCATTGGGTAAGAACAGTGGCAACTGAGGTCTGGAAAGATGGACTGTTCAAATCTTTCCTGCCTAGTATTTGCCTTCCTGATAATGAGTACATTTTTGTTGGAAATTAGTGCCATTTTATCTTGCTTGGGCTGTAGCTGGAAGTCTAGAAGAGATGGTTTTCATGTCTGTTTCCATGCATCCAGCCTCTGCAAATTTTAATGCCTCTCTTCCTGAACTGTCTCTGGGCCGGAGAATCTTCTGCCCATCCCAGTCTGAATAATGCCTTGCTGTGGCCTCATCTGTCACTACAGCTTGTGGATAAATATTAAATTTCTACCAATAACCAAGGCTTAATATTGTTAGCAAACATTTCCTGTAATTGTCTTTTTATCAAATAGATGGTTGTGTGATCTAGAACAGAGGATTACTGTCTCCCACTCAGGACAGAAGAGTCAATTTTTCTCCTAGTGTTCATGTGTAGAACTTGTTGGGGTCAATGATAGTCATTTAGTGCTCTGGGACCCTGCATAATCCAGGTGCTCTTCTGCAGACTGCAGAAGTGATCAGCATTAACTGATTGCTAGCAGAGTTTCTTGGTCCATACAGTGTGCAATCTTGACTTTGTTACATGTAAGATGCTGGTGTTTTCAGTGTTTGCTTCTGTTTTACTGGTAGCTTTCTGAAATGTCTTTTTCTAAATCAAACAGTTCCCTAGTAAACAGGACCAAAACCCAGCACATCTGAAAATGAATTGTATTTTCCTTACCGGTTTACCTTCTGCCAGTACTTATAGAAATCTTAGGTTAAAGACTTAAAGCTAGAAAAAGCAGATAATTAATGCTATGTTAGTCATAGAATGTGTTCTAGTACCTGAATACGTTGGGCAGTACATGCTTCCAAGGTCTCTTGCCCGAGTGCAAGTTCTGCATCTCTTGTAGATTGTGAGATGTTATTGACGATGGCTATGAACTGCCAACACCTCACTGAAGCAGGGCATGTCCTTGGACTTGAACTTTTTTCCTTTTATCTCTAATTTTTTTGCAGTGCTGTCTGAGGTAAAGTAGCGAGCTGTGGAAGTACTTTCTGTTTTATGAACAGTGTGACAGGCTCATCACCTCCTGAGGTCTAGTGCCTCTCTTCCCTAAAGCAGGAGGGGTACATCCTGTACCCTTTGCACTGAGCCATGGTGCAGGAGCCCCTAAACTCTGACTCAAATGGCTTCTTTCCAATTTAGTAAGACACTGAGGATGACCTGCCAAAGCCATTGCTCAGATAAGTACTTGTTTGTGACAGAATCCTCAGGGAACGAGGGAAAGTATTATCAACCAAAGGAATGTAGAAAATACTTACAATTCTTACTGATTTTAATTTAAGGCTTAATTTCTATAATGGCATCATAAATCAATACTGGACAAGAAAGCTTTAAAAAAAGAAAGTCATGAGGTGCTTGCTAGCTAGACTACTGCTTCAGCTCTACCATATTAGAGCAGGTCACTAATGTATTGTAGAAACCAATTTGTGTCTGCATCATCTGTTTGTTTTTTTCTCTTGGGAAAAAGGTAAGAGCCAGTTGCTGGAGATTCTCATTGGCTCTCTATTCCACAGAGGTTAAATTTAACAGGAAACCTGGCATATGTTGACTCCTAATTCTGTGCATTAATACAGTTTTGAATACAGTTGCTGACTGGTAGGTGGTCCCACTCCAGCTGCTAAGGAGGCAATGCAGTCATGGAAGCAGAACCGGAACATAAGCTTTTGCAAAGTGTTTGGAAAAAAAGCTGTTGCTTTTGGTTGTAGTCTTCCCTGGGAGTGAGAAGCTTTTGCTAATTGCTTATAGGATTTAACAAAATAGAAATGCATGGGAAGGCAGTGGGAAGGTTGCATAGAAAGAAATGGGCAGGAGGAAGAGAAAGCTTTCTGAGCGGTCCTCAAGGTGAGCATTCAAGTGAGGGGCACAGGATGGGTAAGAGTTGGGGATCTTATTTTGGGGCCTTCCACTGATGGATGAAACAGGAAGAAGCTGCTAGAGTGGAGGCTCTTTGGTGTTTCATCTATTATGTTCACATGTAAGGCCTCAGCTAGCCTTTATCACTGTCTAGGTTTCATGCTGTAATCACCAGGGAATTTCTGAGAATCCAGAGGCTTTCTGCTGAGATTTTCTTTCAGTTCTGCAGCTCTGAGCAGACCTGTGAGTAGCTCTGTACTCCTTCGATCATCTATGTCTGGTCTCAGTAAATGATTCAAGTAGGTAGCAATGGGTCAGATCCATCTCATCACAATCTTAAGATAAATTTGACCTTGTATCACCTCCTACATTCAAGTTTGGCTTGTTCTTCGCAGTAAAGCTGTGTGTGCCCAGTCCTGCCCTTTGGAGCTGGCAGGAGCCTCAACGCTTCTGTGTTGCTGTGAGGTGGTTCTTGTTTGCTTTTTATACTGTGTTCGAGAGAAGGGCTCCATGTGATGCTGGCAGTGGGCGCACACACACCTGTCTGTACCCTCCTCATCTACTCATGGGGAGTTACTGGTGTTTTATTTGGGTTTTGCTTCTGCTTCCCAAAAGGAGAATGACGAGGGGCCTTCCCGCGGGCTCTCCGGGCAGCGCGGCCCCGCGCACTTCTGCCCCTGGGGGCTGCTCCAGGGGCTCCCGTCTCGACCCGCATCTCGGGGGACCCAAACCTCCGCACATGGCAGAAAACCAGCGCGTCAGAAGCCGCGTTTCTGCGCGCGGCGGGGCGGGTAGCGC